TAAACATTAAAAAAAATTAATACTTGGTAATTTGTTTGAGTCACTGTATATCTGATTGTTGCAAGTTCATTAAGTACCACACTTTATTAACAGCAGTCCAGTGACCTTTTGGCTTTGGCTATCAGATTAAATACATAGTTACTGAAGGCAGGTTAAGGTTATAGACTCAGTGAGAGGTATTTCGAATGTATCCAGCTTCCTACTTTTAGATTTAGTTTTGAGCGAAATAACAAACGCAACAAGTTTACAAGTTTTAAAAATTTATTTTTTTTTTTTGTTATTTAGTTTTAATTATTTTTTATAAAAATTTAGTTTATTCTTTAATAAAAACCGTATGAATCCAAGTGTTCAGTATTTAAAAAATTCAACAAACTTTCGTGAAAATCTCAATGTTTTTTATCCGAATTAAAAAAAAAAATAATAATTCTGTATATAGCCCATTCAACTGCAAACCTAAAACTTATTTGAGATTTTAAATTTCTTATTTTAATTTAATTTATTCTGTGGTGCAAACTTCCTTATTACGGTTATGTCATTTTGGTTATGTTTTATTCTGTCAAACTAGTACTCTCCCTATATTGCAGTCATCATTATTGTCAAACAAATTTTGTAAGGCTTTTATAATTATTTTTTTTTTTTTTTTTTTTTTTTAATAAAACGATTCTAACTCGAATTTAGTGAAATTATAATAAATAGTACTAATTCCCTCAAAAAATTCATGGATATGCAAAATATGAGCTGTAGATACAGTGGCGAAAATATAAATAGGAAAGAGACATTTTGGCATTCTTTGGATATTCCTCTTTCGATTATTCAATGTTTATTATTTTTTTATGAAAGTGTAAGCTCGTTATTATTTAAAACCATGTAAATCAAACTTGGTTCAAAAATTAGCAAAATTCGTCAAATTTCATCAAAATTTTGAGCTTTTTAATTAGATTTCTTAGAAATATTCTGAGTAGATATGCAGTTTTCTATCTCATCAATTTTAGTAAAATGAAGTGAAAAATTTAAGTATCTAGGACTTACCGTTGGTTTTTGGTATTTTTTTTTTGTGGAAAGGGTTGCTCATTTTCTCCATAAAAAAAATTTTCGACCACAAAAATACGCGAACAAAAAATTGCCAAAAATTAACCGTAATCCTAGCTACTTCGAACTTGCACTTTGTTACACTAAAATTTACTGGACTACAAAACTGTGTGCTTGAAAAAAATCTGATTAAAAACTTTAACACTTTGATCAACGTTTGTTAAAACTCGTCGAATTTTTATAAATATTCTACAAAGTTTGAAATTTTGATTTACGTGATTTTTTTAGATACTAATCTATATTTTCAAAAAAAATATAAAAAATTTTTTAAACAAAGAAAAGTAGCCAAAACTTGCTAAAATACATTTTCCCTATTTACATTCTTGCCACCGTATATATGTATTGCGTGCATACATTTTTGCGATCATTTTTCAAGTTTTTTTGTCTTTGTTTTCTTTTAAATAAAACTGTATTAAAAGATGTTAGAAATGCCCCGCTTTTTGTCCACAGAAATCTGGTCACCGTACCTATAAATACCAATTAATGCCAAGATCATTAACAACACCCTTTAAAGTGTCTTCAAACTACATACATATATAGATTTTACATACATATACACTTGTGGATATATTTAAATGCAGAGATTCCATTCCATTTCTACGCGTATAAACATTATTAAACCACCTGAAAAGGCAGTCATTGCATTTGCAATTCTGCATTTCTATTTTTCTATTCTCCATTTTTTTTTTCAATGTCGTTATTGCACTTGCGAATATTATAAGCAATTTGAATGCAAAAATGTGTGGAAATTAAAATATGAATTGACTTACGCAGAAGGTACGAAACTGAAGTATTGGTAATTTATAAAAAAGATATATGTACATACATACTATCTACACATCTATGGACATATACACATTTGATTAATTGTACACAAATATTGGAGGTCAAAGCAAAATAGTCGATAATTGGTACGCTAATGTTTGGCAATTAAAAAAAAATAATAATCTTGCTAAATGTTAGACCACCGAGGAACATACTACCACTTTATCTTTTCCTTAGCTCGCAGTCGGATCATTAAAATTTACCTATAACTTAATAAAACATGTGGAAACGACTACTTAGCTTAGTAGCACATCCATCCTCAATTACAATTATATTCGTTAACTAATTCACTTCTGTATTTTAAGGCGTTCACAAATATAATTTACAATAATTTTCAAATCAAATGATTTTATGTTTAGTACATAAACAATTTCTTTACTGGTTTAGTTTTACCAAAATATTAGTGTCTAAATTCGATTAGTATCGGGCATTTGCCTTCAAAATACTGGACGTTTTTAATTTCATTCCCATTGCATAAAGAACACATTTTTTATGTATTCGCTTGAAATCTATTTCCATTTAAATTTAAGCGGTCAATTCTGGCCTTAACAGCGACATTATCTTATTTTGATGCTTTCCTTCTACCATATACAACCTTCCTGCGTTCCAATCTAAGTTTCTATAGAATCTGTTTGTATTTCCCCGCCCCGTTTTTTTATATGTATACGAACAGAATTTTACAGACGTAGCGCAAGTGCAAATAATAATAGATTGGCTATTTTCGGTTGAAAAATTTCTTTTTTCAACATATTTTGTAAACAACATAAGTAGACAAGAGAATTCTAAGCTAATTTTTATGGAAAGCTCTTTATAAAACCAAATTTCCTCTTTAGCCACCTTGCCTCCCTTTCTAAAGATCATCATTTCAGATTTCACCATATTATATAACTTTCACATTCCACCAAAGTCCACAATACTTAAATATCATCTACTAATATGACTAAATATATCATCTGCATACATCAGCAGACGAATATTGCATACTTGTAATGTATGTAAATACCTTCACCCAACGCCTCTTGTAAATCATTCAGAAGCAGAGCAAAAAGAAGCGGTGACATCGGACACCCTTGTTTAACTCCTTCGGCTTCAAAATTTTCGGGAAGCTCGTTTCAAATCCACACCGCCGATGTTGTTTAGCCATAAATACTTTTAATGAATTTTACAAACTTATAAGAAAGTCTAAGGTGATACAAAATTTTTAAGCCACCGCTATCCGAGCGACTTTATCAAATACTGTCTTAAAACATAAGTTTTCTTGTTACTATGAAAATTTAAATGCACTATTGCAAAAAGGTTTGACTTTTTCGAAAAGAGTTGCCACCTTTTATTCAATTAAACTCAAATTATTTAATAATCAATGCTGTCATATCCGCACCGTTCGCTGCAATTATCTAAGAGGTAAAGCCAACTATTACAAAATGGTTTTAAAAAGCTTTATTTCCCAGCTTTTTTACGGTAGGAGGAGTGGCACCTGTTTCAAAAATTTAATTCAATTTGAATTAAAGGAATTAGGTAATATAAATATGGACGTCGGACGAAAAGAGTTTAAGAAGGTAATATGCAATTGGTAAATATTTTGAAGAGGGTTGCCACCTGCCACCAAATTTGCTAAATAAAAGAGTGTTAAGAAATCTTTAGTTTTAACATAAAGAATATTTTTGAGGTTGTTTGTTTAATAATAATAAACAATTTGGTATTAATCGAAATGGGTTTGACAAGGCTTCATTTCGGAACTATATATGGAGAGTTGCCACATGTTTTAAAAATAAAATTCAGCTTATTAAAATATGTATCACAATGTTGGACGAGGGTTGTTTAAGAAGGTTTTAGCTTGAATCTACTTTTGGAGGGGATTGCCACCCGTTTAAAAAGTCGAATTTATTTTAATTATATGCAAATTAATTGAAATTTTAAAATACATGTGTCAAGCAAAAGAGTGTTAAGAAATATTAAGTTTGAGCATTTAGAATGCTTGAAGAGGGTTGCCACGTGTTTAAAAAGTGGCATTGCAATTATTTAATAAGTTTGATTAATTATTAAATGGCAGGTATCAATGGAAATGGGTTTTAAAGGCTTTATTTCTGAAATATATTTGGTAGGGTTTCCAACTGTTTAAAAAATCCAACTCAACCATAATTAAGGCAATAAGATAATTGAAATATGTATCAAAATTTCGGTGTTAGGCGAAAGAGATTTAAGAAGATTTTAGTTTGAAAATACTTTTGAATAAGATTTCCACCTGTTTGAATAGTCGAATTTAGTTAACTTATCCGCAAGTTTTATGAAATATTAAAATACGAGTGTCAAGGTCATTAGATTTGCACCGTTCTTACGGATTTAAGATTTCGGAAGGTTTCGCGTTTAGAAAAAACTTTTTTGTTTTTTTTTATTTTTTGATGTTTGGCGGAAACTGGGCTCTAACTCAGGCCCTGCGCAATGATAGCGCGCACTGCTAACCAGTACACCACAGCGGCTGCTATGTAACTCACAACACCTTGCTTTGAAAGCAGTTTCTTCCACCGGGAGCACCCAAGGCGGTTCTTGTCCTTTCATCAAGCAACTTTGGGCCTTAATCGATATTCACTGAGAGACCGCTCTCGTCTTGTGTTTGCTATAGTCTGAATCCAATCCCCACCAATAGCCAGAGCTGTTTCGTTAGGTCTCGCGGGGTTGGAAAAATTCTTGGCCAGCCTTGCTTTTAAATTGGCAGCAATTGCACAGCCCCCAGACAAATTAAGTTGTATGTACATTTCTAGCCTCACAGTTTTCAAGAGTAATTAACTATCTTGGCAAAATATCGTCGGATTTCGTAATTCGACGCTACTTCTGGTGCTGCAACGAAATATATTTTATAACATTCAACTTAGTAGGTTTAAAAGCGTTTAATTTTAATAACAATTTTATGAAAATGAATCGGCTGTCCTAAATCCAACTCTGTCGGTTCCGCTTGAGCACACACCTTACTATATAAATATAGACACTTCTACGCGCATACATACTTGTTTTTATTTACAGTTACACTATAACTTACGAAACTTATCAGTTGCAGACATACAAAAAAAAAAACAACACAAAAAACTTACGCAAATCTTTGGCAGCGACTACATTGGCCAATTGCAACACAAGTTGCACAAACAGCAATAGCCAAACTGGCGGCAGCAATGTTAATTTGAAGCCAAAGTCACTAGATAACGTGTTGCGCATGCGTGTAGACATTTTTAACTTCTTTTAAATTGATTTACACTTTGTGCTTATTTGTCTCACACGATATAGCAACGTTTGAAAAATCAATTATCTCACGATCGATATTATCGATTCTCGATTTGAATCTTAGATTTTCGTTTTTTTCAGAATTTTAATTATTTTTTTTTTAAGTTTATTTTAATCCCGAATTTATGGCAAATTAAGAAAGAAATCCATCAATTTTGCCGCGCCGATAAAGCCACTGCACTGTTCTCTCGCCAGCGAGTTATCAACACAATTTGAACGGGATGCTAAACGCATGCGTAGCTTTTATAGGAAGCTTCAGCTTTTTGCGCCTCTAGCTTCAGTCGAAATCATAGCAAGTTTTTAGCGGCAGCAGCAAAAGCAAATTACTCAGCCCATCAGTCAGCTTCGTAGTGGATTCGCTTAACCTGCATTCTCCCATGTGCTTACGACCAAGTCTCTATCTGGCTGTATTTTAGTGTACATATGTATGTATTGAACACACGCGTACAGGTATTTTTTATAGCTTTGAAAAATTTAATTCGAAATTCATATGTTATTATAACCGTAATGAGATTTGCTTCATCGAACGCGATTTGCTTAGTCTAGTGACTTTTGCTCTTCTCTATAAAATTTTGAAAAGCTTTGCCTGCAGTTTTGCACCAGTGAGCCAATAAGTTTGGGTATTAGATTTTAAGTCAGTTTGATGTAATAACTATGTACGTACATACCGGCAGTTACTCACAGAAATATTCGTGGTTTAGTTTTTTTCAAGATATTCGAAAAAAATTATAAATCTTTTCAATATTATTCGTTAATTTTTATTTAAAATCCAATTGTATAACACAAACCATACAAATCAATGTTGCGAGCTTTCTACAAAATTCGCAAAAATTCAGCGAATTTCAAAAAATTTCATAAAATTTCATAATTTTTAGTCAGATTTTTTAGAATTTTTTTCGGTATGCAGTTTTGTAAAGTGCAAGTTCTTAATGACTAGGCCTTACCATTAATTTTTGACAATTTTTTCCCTGACGGTGTCGCCGGTCATCTTCCGTAAAAAAAATTAATTTTTTTCATGCATTGCATGAAAGAGAACGAGCGATACCATCTGCAAACAAAATGTTTCAAAACTCAACGGTAAGACCTATTCACTATTATGTTATGCACTTTATTATGTTAAAATGGGTTACAAAACTGCATACTGAAAAAAATGCTAAAAAAATCTGGCTAAAAAGTTTGCAGATTTTATGGCAATTTTTTTAAATTCGCTGAATTGTGGGAGTTTTGTAAAAAGTTTGCAGCATTGGCTTATCTTATAGAATGCGCTATATTTTAAAATAATTAATTGACAAAGAAGATTTATAATGTAAGACATTTTGAATATCGTGAAAATTGTAAACAACGAATACTTCTGTGAGTAACTGTATGTATTTTTGCAAATATTTTTTTTTGTTCGCAGGGAAACAAAAATTTCTTAGTTATGTTTACATAAAATTTTTGTACCGAACACATTTAGCGGAACTGTCATGCGTCAGTTGTACTATTTATGTATGTATTTATGTACTGTAAGTGCCGGGATTCGTAATCAATTTCGAACTAATATCACTAATTATGACGTAAATCATTTACAGAATATTTATCAAATAGTATTATTTGGCACCCGCACTGCTGGTGGTACGCTATTCCTTCAAAATAAGTATGGGAGTTGATAATACATGAAGGTAAAAATTTGTTTTTGGAATTATAAGGACCTGGGTTTGGGACCTGAGTCATAAAAAAACGTTCCATGATAAAAACATAGCAAGGTAGAACCGTTCTCTCAATTTGTCGGCCATGATTTTTTTTTTGAAGTTTGCCAACATTTTAAAATCATATAAAAGTGAAAATAAAAAATTTAAATTGTTCGAAATTGTTGTTGCTTGAGATTGAAAATGAAAATGTATGTGTGAGTTTGTGAGTAAATTTAAAAATTAAATTGTTTGGAAACGTCAAGAATTTTAAAAATGACTCTCAGCGGTTCTACCTTACTATATTTTTTATCATGAAACGTTCTGTAAGGAGCTTCGGTTTTGTTATTGTTGTTTTTATTGATTGTATTAACGATTTTGCTATCGATATTATTATCGCTTTTGTTATCTATATTTTTATCGGTTTTATTATCGATTTCGCTATCGATATTTTCGGAACTTATCGATATTTCTATCGATTTTGTTATCGATATTTTTTATCGATTTTGTTATCGGTTATTTTATCGATTTTGTTATCGATGTATTTATCGATTTTGTTGTCGATATTTTTATCGATTTTGTCATCAAAATTTTTTTCGGTTTTGTTACCGATATTTTTGTCGACTTTGCTATCGATATTTTTATCGGTTTTGTTATCGATATTTTTATCGATTTTAAATATCAAATATTTATCGATAAAGTCAATTACAATCTTTGTTATCGATGTTGTAATCGACTTTTTGATGGATTTTGGAATCGATTTAGTAATCGATATTTTTATCGATTCTGTTATCGATTTCGCTATCGATATTATTATCGATTTTGATATCGATATTTTCATCGATTTTTTTATGGATGTTTTTATCGATTTTGCTATCGATATTATTATCGATTTTGCTATCGATATTTTTTTCTTAGTGTGTGCTTTCGTTTTCGACTTGGATATGCTCATAATCATACCACGTATTCTACGTTTAAATTTAGCGGCTATATCTCCGATACAGCCTGCAGATCAAGACGAAGGCGCTGGACTGTTCCTTTTTTTCTAATAATCTTTAGCATCTATATTTCAATGTAAATTTTTTGGTAAGAAATAGGAAAGTACCAAATAAATGATAAATACCTTGAACTGAATATTCCACGATATTTCAATAATTGATTACACTTGAAAAAGAAAACATTTTCTTTAATCGGTCAATCGCCAAAGGCAACTAAACTGATTAGTCGGTATCGCGCCCATTCTCGTACTTTTTTTGGAAATGTATCGTTCGTGAAGAAGGTGGGGAAGAGATAATGTAAAATTTGGTATGTATGACTTTTACTTTTCCCTTTCTAAGTCCAACCGGTTTTTTATCAACTTTCACCATGACTTTTTTCTACCTGCCTCCATACAGTCGAAACACTGTGCGACGCTGGACAAATTTTAGAGTTTCAGCGAGCCCAAAAGAACAACTTGTCGAACTCCTGTAATAACAACCACGGCAACCTAATGGTCTATGTCCCGCCCGTTTGGGACGGCAAATACCGCAGACGATAGACGTAGTACAGTGAATTAAAATACAACGGCTCAGCTGGCTTGATCATGTCTTACGAATGGACGCGATCGCTCCACTCCAAAAAGTATCCAACGGGGTAAACGCTGATTGTAGCCGAAGAAACAGAAGATCTCCTCCGTGTGGGAAAAATTAAATGGGTTTTCTATGGAAGAAGTACTCTCAGGGTTTGCCAATGCCTGACGAGAAGTGTCGGCCAATATAAAAGAGTCGCTATTGTTTCCCATCCGCTTTCCTCACTGCTGATACTTAAAGCTCTAAGCTGCACTTCAAATTTATCAGAGTTGTAAGTATGCTAACTATTTGCTTACCCCGACTGTCTGATGCATTTTTAACCAACGGCAGTAGTTACATGCTTAAATACATATTTATGTATTTAGTTCCTCCTTTTTTTAAATGTGTAGTTAGTTTACTCAAGTATTTGTTAAGTATTTATTTTTTCGCATACGTTTCTCAATGTATTGTATGTATTTGTATGGTTTGCTTAATTATTTTTCATAGTTGTTTTATTTAGTTTTTTAAAACTAATGTATTTATGTACAGTGACGGGCATAAGAATTAGGACACAAGACTTTTAAGAGTTTATTTTTTGTTGTTTTTCGCTTTCGAAAGTGAAGTAGAATGTCTTATTATTTTAAATGAGCAGTTCTTGTATATAAATAAATATACAGTTACTCAAACAAGTGTTCACGAGTTGATTTTTTTTAAATCTTCACAAAATTTTTCAAGTTAATTTTTTTTTTTGTTATTTTTCTATAAAAATATTGTCGAAGCTTTTGCCAAAAATCATATAAAGCAAAGTTTCAAACTTCATACAAAATTTAGGAAAATTTTAATCTCTTTAATCTGAATTTTTACAAGCCAATACAATTTTAGTCTAATGAAGTGCAAGTTGAATGCTTTTGCGGTTTGTTTTATGTAACAAGTACTAATTACAAAAAATGGCGAACAAGCGAACGTTGGGCCGCATTTTATTTCATAAGAAATTCGTGCGTATATGAAAAAACTTCAACGCGATTTTTTAGCCGCTTGAAACTTGCACTTAATGAGACTAAAATTGTATGGGCTATAAAATTGCATACCCAGAAATGTTATAAAGGTTTAGATTAAAAAGCTTGAAATTTCGATGAAAATTATTCCTGAATTTTGTTTATAGTTTGAAACTTTAATTTATACGGTTTTGGACAAAACTTGGACAACGTTTTCATAGAAAAATAACTTAGCTTGAAAAACGTTGGAAATATAAAAAAAAAATGAATCAACACGTGAACACTTGTTTGAGTCACTGTATATATCCATAGGTTTTTCGGAAACGGCTCTAACCATTTTGCTGAAATTTTGTATACAGGTAATGTATTGCAGTTTAAGGTTATCTGAATAGATATTATATCCGAGAATATTCGGATAAGGTTGCCGCCTATTCGAAATTATTTTCAAATTAAATGGCGCTTCGTAATAAAATGGAAAGTATTTTATTAATCCCAATTGAGAAAAACATATTTCTGAACAGGGTTGCCACCTGTTTCGAATCGTACATTTATTTAATTTTTTATTTAGAAAATTAGGATACAATTTTATTTGTTAGATATTTTATTACTTGATAGCAGATAAATTTACTTAAACTTACTGTTGTTTGGTTGATTGATCAAATAAGCTTTTAGTTTTAAGTTACAGCTTTCGCAATTGTGGGTGAGGTCCTGAGTAATCACAGTAATGATAACTGTATTATTCGTTATACTTTATTTGTCACAATTTTCACACTCAACACTGTAGGTGCAAAATGAATACAAAGTTCTGTGTTCATAGCAAACATGCTGCTTTTCGAATAGGATGCTACATTAAATTGTTTAACTAATATTTAAACAATGACAAGATCATAAAGACGTTTGGAAGTGTTTCCGGTTTATTTTAAATCTGCTGATATGTAGTACATTATGTATTTCCTCAAGCATGATTATTTACTCGCAGAAAATTATATGAATCCATCAATGCTTTGTGCGTCAT